GAAAAACCTCTGAATTCATGGGGCACTGGTTAAAGTACTCATGAAAGCTTTGCCTTAGTAGAAGAGAGTAATCAGTGTTAAACTGAGCCCTACTCCATACCCATCTCACAAATCATAAGAGATGCAAGTGTCAAGTTGTTTCCATATAACTGCATCCCAGACAAAGCTGAAGAAGAGTTATAGAAACACAAAAAATATCCAGCAACCAAGAAAGTAAAATTTGCGATGCCTGGCACCAGACAAAAGATACCAAGCCTGCAGAGTCAAGAAAATGCATCCCATAATGAAAATAATTAATCAAAACCAACACAAAACTGACAGAGCTGGTAGAATTAAGAAAGGAGAATATCAAAACAGTTATGATAGTGCATTCTATATGTTCAAAAAGTTAAATAGGTCAGGAAAGATACTAAAAAGCCCAAAATTGAGATTCTACTTCTTTTTATCTTCACCCAAAGACTTTTTTTTCAAGTGCTTTAAAAAAGAGGAAGGTAGAGAGGGAAGGAGAGACTGATGAAAAAGAGAAGCAGTAACTGGCTGCCTCCCGTACGCACCCAGACTGGGGATCACACCTGTCCAGACCAGGGATGGAACCCACAAGCCCGGTATGTGCCCTGACGGGAAATCGAACCAACAGCTTTCCAGCTATAGGAGGACATTCCAACCAACTAAGCCCTACCAGCCAGGGCTGAAATTCTAGATGTAAAAACTACAATGTCTAAGATTAAAAAAATACACTGAATGATAACATCAGATTTGGCATTGCCAAAGAAAAGATTAGTAAACTTAAAGGCATAACAACAGAAAAGTTATAAAACACAAAGTAAAATTTGGCTTAATGAAAAAAACATAAGTAAACTGTAAGACAACTTTAAGCAGCCTATTATGTGAATAACATAAGTCCCTGAAAGAGAAGAGAGGAGGGGCCAGCAAAAACACATGAAGAAAACTGGCCAAAATCTTCTAAAACCCTATGAAAACTACAAATTGACACATCCAAAAAACTCCAAACACAAGAAGCATGAAGAAAAATATATCAAAGATATGAATGATATCTCACTTCTCACTGGAAAAAATGAAAAGGAGAAAACATGAAACATCTTTAAATTTAATAAAAATAACTGTCAGCCTAGAATTCTATATGCAGCAAAAACGTCATTTTAAAAAACCCAAAGGCAGCCCTGGCTGGTGTGGCTCAGTGGATTAAGCACCTGACTGCAAACCAGAGGGTTGCTGGTTCAATTTCCAGTCAGGGCACATGCCTAGGTTGCAGGCCAGGCTCCCCCGTGTGGGAAGCACAAGAGGCAACCACACATTGATGTTTCTCTCCCTGTCTTTCTCCCTCCCTGCCCCTTTGCCTAAAAATAAATAAATAAAATCTTTAAAAAAAACCCAAAGGCAAAATTTTCAGCATAAAAAGTTGAAGCTGTTCGTCACCAGCAGATTGCACTACAAAAAAAAAAAAATGAAAGGAAATCCTCTAGGCTTATAAAATATAACACCAGATAGAAATACAGATCTATAATAAATAAATATCACTAGAAATGGTAACAACAAAAGCAAATATCTACTATTTCCCTCATGTAAAACTCATTAAAACTTAAAACTTTAAAACAAAATGAATAACAATGTGAGTGAGGGTTACAAAATAGGTGAAAGTAATACATAAAGTCCAAGAGTAGAGAAGTGGAAGTACACTATTGTAATATTCTTACACTATAATATATTGATACTTTGGTATAATATTAGTTAAGGTTGACTATGATAATTTAAAGATGCATACCACAAACCTGAAGCAATTATTAAAACAACAAAACAAAAAGTTACAGCTAAAGATCCAACATAGAAGTTAAAACAAAATGAAAAAATATTTGGTTAATCAAAACAAGAATGAAAAGAAAAATATAAACAGAAATCAGAGGGTACAAGTAGGAAAAAAAGGAAATGTTATAATAAAACATAATTATGTCAATATTCACATTAAATGTAAATAGTCTAAAGACATCAATGAAAAAGCAGAGATTGTCAAACTGGATAACAAAGCAAGACTCAATTATATGCCATTTATAAGAAAAGTACTTTAAATATGAAGACACAAAGAAGTTTAAAGTAAAAGAATGGAAAAGCATAAACTGTGTTAATATTACCCAATACAAATTTGGAGATGCTACATTAATATAATACAAAGTTAATTTCAGAACAAATAATATTACTGGGAATAAAGAAAGTCACTTAATAATGATAAAGAGGCCAATTAATTAAGAGTATACAATAATCTTAAATGCTTATGCATGTAAAAACAGACCCTAAAATTGTATGAAACAAAAACTGATAGAACTGCAAGAAGAAATAGATAAATCCAAGTATAGATATATGTATTTCAACATACCTCTCATAATAATTAATAGAATAGGAAAAAATGAACAGGGATGTTGTAGATTTGCATAACTCTATTAACAAATTTGACCTAATAAATAATTAAAAACACTTTGTCCAAAAATAGCAGAATATATATTCTTTTCATGTGGGACATTTACCAAAATAAGTCATTCTAGGCCATAAAATAACTATCAATACACTTCAAAAGATTCAAGGCAGCATACAAAGTATATTCTGGGAATACAATAGAATTAAATTAAAAATCATTAACAAAAAGATCTCTAAAAACTCCCAATATTTGCAAAATAAATAACATAAATATAAATTATCCATGGATCACAGAAGAAAAGGAAAATTATTTTTAACTGGATGAAAATTAAAAGACAACACAATTTTGGGGATACCACTGTAGTATCTAAAAGAAAGTACAGCATGTGATGCCTATATTAGAAAAGAAGTCTCACCGCAGTGACCTCAGCTTCCAGCTTAAAAATCAGAAAAACAAAACTGACCCCAAAGTACAAAGAAACAAGAAAAACCAAAGATGAAATTATTTATTAGAGAAAAAATCAGTAAAACCAAAAGCTGGTTCTTTAATAAATAAACAAAATTGATAAATATCTAACCAGACTGAGAGAGGAAACCAAATTGCCAATATCAGGAATGAAAGGGGTGGAATCACTACCAATACTACAGAATTTTTTTAAAAGATTTATTTATCTTTATAGGGGAAGGGAAGGAGAGAGGGAGAGAAATATCAATGTATGGTTGCCTCTCGTGCATCCCCTGCTGGGACCTGGCCTGCAATCCAGGCACGTGCCCTGACTGGGAATAGAACCGTGGTTGTTTGGTTTGCAGGCTGGTGCTCAATCCACTGAGCTACACCAGCCAGGGCCCAATCCTACAGAAATGAAAAGAGTAATAATGCAATACTGTGAACAAGTTTACACCAATAAATTTGACAGCTTATGAAAAACTAGACAATTACCTTGAAAGACACAAACTACCAAAACTCATTTAAGAAAAAATAATAACCTGAATAATCCTTTATCTTTAAAAAAACTAAAAATGTACTTTAAAACCTTCCCACGAAATAAAAAGGCATGCCAAAATGGTTTCACTGATGAACTCTGCCAAACATCAAAGGACAAGTAATACTAATTCTACACAAACTCTTCGAAACATTTAAGAGAAGGAACTACTTCCTAACTCATTCTTATCAGGCCAGCATTACCTGACATCAAAACCAAGAAAAAGACATTAGAAAAAAAGAAAACTACAGACACAAACCCTCATGAACACAGAAGCAAAGATTGTAAACAAAATGTGATCAAATCAAACTTAATACAAAAAAGGGATCGTCCATCATAACCAATGCGATTTATCCCAAAAACAGGGTTGGTTTAACATATCAATGTCCATCAATGAAGTTCACCACATTAACAACGAAAGAATAAAACACATTCCTAATCTCTACAGATGGAGAAAAAGCACTCGAGAAAATCCAACATATACTCCTGATGTTAAAAAAATCCTTTCAGAAACTAGGTGCTCAGAAACAGCACCTATGAAAAGCTGATAACCAACATAATTCTTAACAGTGAGAGACTGAATGCCTTTTCCCTAAGATCAAGAATCAGACAGGATGTCTGCTCTCACCACTTCTATTGAGAATTGCATTGCCGTGTCTAGCCAATGCAACTAGTGGGGAAAGACATAATCATGTAAACCAGGGTGAAAAATCAACAGATAGAAACAAAACAATGAGAAATGGGAGCAAAAAGGAAGTATAGAGAACTGAAATCTCATAAGGGAACAAAATTAGCACTTTTATGCCTAAGTAATGTATGTAAAGATATCGGCTTATTATTTAAAAGCCATCTAAGTAAAATAATGATTGATAAGATACTAGTGAGGAGATAAAAATTCTAAAGAACTTATTAAGACAAAGATTTTAAAAAACTGTGTTTACTAATTTCAACATATATTCTTTAGGCAGCATTAACATTGTTCTAAAGGGGATGGATGAACTACAAAAATCTAGTATAAATGCAAAACACCTCCTTAACATTTCTTCTTAAAATTCCATAGTATAATGTTTATTTCATTAATGTTAAGACAAAGATAAAAGGTAATGCAGCTTTAAAAGCTTTAAAATTATGGAACACAATATCTCCAAACTAGAAAGAGGCTCTTTCAAAAGGAAATAAAACAGGAGCCAAAGGAAGAGTATATCTACAAAGTTTATAAAATTATGTGTGGCAATGGAAAAGGCTGTGTCACAACTCTAATATTAATCAGTTCTGTGACTTTAAAAATGAACTTTCTGCACCTATAAAATAAAGGAATTTGACCATTTGGCCTCTAAATTCTATTCATCATCTTTGAGAGCCTAAGATTCTATGTTTCTAAACAAAATCATAAGCTAAAAGACATAAACAATGAAGCAAATATATTTTTAACACACAGAAATAAATAAAAATTTCTTTTAAGTAGAATGAAGATACTAGAAAAGGTTGTTTATTGGTTCAGCTGAATATTAATTTCAGTTGTCTTTTAAACTTTACTCACAATAAGCTTAATTGTAAGAGAATTATTATGTGTGATTTTCATTTCTGTACCTTGTTTGAGCGTAATGACACTCGACCTCCACAACGTGCACAGAACTTTGTTTGGCAATACGAACAGTTATGGCCACACCCATCAGCAAACTTTGTCTTGTGGCAGATACCACACGTTGGAGCATCACCCTTCTGTTCTTGCTGCTGCTGTGATTCTTCTCCCATCTTCTTTACTTGTTCCTTATACATTTCAAACTGCTGATGAAGTTTTCTGCAAAGAAAAATAAGAAAAAATTGGTTTCCTGATGCTCTCAAAAAAATAACTATCACTACAATCTGTAGACACAGTTTCATATAAAAAAATCCACAAAGTGAGAAAAGAATAAAAATTTAATTTTCTGATAATGGAATAACATCATACGTGATGCAACCAATTATGCCTTCTGATATACATATTAATTTAACAACAAATTAATACAATATATGTTTATGGAGATATTTCTTTGAATATAATTATAAAATGTCTACCTACCATTTGCAATATATTTTCAGTCAAACACTCCAAAATATGTACCATATTATTTTCCAACAGTTTAATTTCAAAATAAAGGGAGCTAATTTGACTTACACAATGAAGCCAAAACTTATGAAACTCAAATCACTGAGACAGAATCTCAGCTTAAGTGATCTTAAGAATGTAGACAGAGGGGAACACATTGAGTGAGCGCTCTCACCATTTAAACCTGCTCAATAGTTTGGACATCAGTTGCCTATAAAAACACTGAAATATTAGGATCCTACAAAATAAAGATGAGCAAAGAAAAGTAAGGCCAAAATTTATTTTAAAGATAAAGGATAAGAAGGAAGACACTTGGTAAAATATATTATTTACTCTAGTTAAAAATAGTGATATAACTTTCAGTTTCATTGTTTTATAACTTGAAAATGTTTGGAGACTATTATTAGTTTCAATTAGGATTTACAAAGATACAAATAATGTCACTCCCATTCCAAACCTATCTGAATTCCTGACTTGACTGGTGATTTAATCCCCAGCACTAATGGTCTGACAGAAAAGGCATGTCCACTTTAAAACATAAATACTATGCAAAACCATGAGACTCAGGGGGAAATAACAAGGATTAAACAACCTATTGTCAAGAGATAAAATAACCAATATCATTACATTCAGAGATGACAAGGATAATGAAATTATCAGACATAGACTTTTCAATAATTAAAATTGTTAAGGCAAAAGATATATAGAAAAAGGTGGATGATACGCATAAATAGATGGGGTATTAAAGCAGAAAGATGAAACTGTTTAGAGTCAAATGGAAATTCTAAAAATATAAAACATATATTAGAGATGAAGAATTTCTTCCATAAGCTCATGAGCAGGCTTGAAAAAATGTAAGGAAAAGATCAATAAATTTTAAAATAAGTAAATAAAAATTATCTCGACTAAAAAAAAATTTATGAGAGAGTTGAAGGAAAAAAAACAGAGCATCCAAGAGTGATCCAAGAGCTACACTGATCTGACATGTGAGACCAGAGCTCCAGAAGAAGAAAGAAAAATACACAGCACAGAAAATATTTGAAGAGATGATGATGTCCATGAATTTTCCAAAACTAATGAAACCCACCAAATCACAGACACATGAATCTCAGAGAATCCTTTGTAGAACAAATACTAAATACACACACATACACACAGACCCATAGACACGTCATAGTTAAACTGATAAAAACCAAAGACAAAAACTATGGATGCACTAGACAAAGTGACACATTATGTGAAGAGGTGAATGATAACAATTATAAATTATCCTTCAGAAACCATGCAAGTTAATAGACTTTGGAGTAACAGCTACATAAAGTACTAACAGAAGAACTGTCTACCCAACACCCCATATGCAGTGAAATTATGCTTCAAAAGAAAATAAAGGCAAAATAAATACTTTTTCAAGCAAATAAATGTTGAAATAATTCATTGTCAGAAGACCCTAGATGCAAAGAATTTAAAGTAAGTTTTTTAGACAGAAGAAGTATGATACTACTTATATGTATCATATAGAAACATTTTCAAAAACTAAAAGGAGAAAGTTGAACCCAAAAAAGTAGAGGAATGGAAAAAAAAGATTTGAAAAGAAATCAATGAAACCAAATGCTATTCTCTTAAAAACTTCAATAAAATTAATAAAACTCTAGGCACAATGATCAAGAAAAAGAATGAAAAAGAAAAATTACCTATAGAAACAAAAACAATATCCCTACAGACTCCATGATTAAACAAAATTAAATTTAAAGGATTATAAGAAAATGCTGCAAATGATTCTATGCCATAAATTCTACAACTTACATGAGAAACAGACTATTTCCTTGAAAGACAGAACTTAGAAATTAAATTAGCACACCTCACTCAAGAAGACATAAATAGTCCTGGCTGGCATACCTCAGTGCATTGAGTATGTGCCCGCAAACCATAGGATCACAGTTCGATTCCCAGGCAGGGCACATGCTTGCGTTGCAGGCCAGTTCCCAGCAGGGAACGCATGAGAGGCAACTATACATTGATATTTCTCTCCCTCTCTTCTTCCCTTCCTCTCTAAAGATAAATAAATAAAATCTTTTTTTAAAAAAGAAGACATAAATACCTTGACAAGTCTTGTATCTATTAAATAAATTTAATTCATACTATAAAACCTTTCAAAAATAAAACCAGTTTTCTATGACTTCATCAGTGAATTCCACCAAACATTTAAGGAACAAATAATACCAATTCTACATAATCTTTTCCAAAATATAGAAAAGAAGGAAGTATTTTCTAATTACTTTCCTAAGGCCAGCATTAGTTGGCTACCAAAACCATACAAAGATATGACAAGAAAACTATAAATAATATTCTTCATGAAAAGATGTAAAAATTCTCAATACAATATTAGCAAGTCAAACCTAAAAATAAGTTAAAAAGTAATATATCATATACAGGTGATGATTATCCTGGGACTACAAGGTTCATTCCAATTTCTAAATTTAAGCAATGCACAATAAAAAAAGGACTCACTGACAAGGGACAACAGTACAGTAATTGCAGGGCCAGGGCGGTGGGGGGTGTGGGGTGTGCAGGGGTGTCCAACCCGCAATGCGCAGACCACATGTGGCCCAGAATGGCTGTGCATGTGGCCCAACACAAAATTGTAAATTTACTTACAACCTTTTTTTGCTCATCAGTTTTCATTAGTGTTTGTGTATGTAATGAGTGGCCCAAAACAACTTTTTTTTTAAAGATTTTTATTTATTTATTTTTAGAGGGGAAGGGAAGGAGAAAGAGGGAGAGAAATATCAATGTATGGTTGCCTCTCATATGTTCCCTGCTGGGAACTGGCCTGCAGCCCAGGCATGTGCCCTGACTGGGAATCAAACCGCGATACTTTGGTCCGCAGGCCCGCGCCCAATCCACTGAGCTACACCAGCCTGGGCCCAAGACAACTCTTCTTCTTCCAGTATGACCCAGAGACGCCAAAAGTTTGCATACCCCTGTAAGAGGACTAAATTGTAATGGGAAAAAATACAATAAAAATTAAATGAAAATAAAATAAAATAAATGTAAGCAATGTAATTCACCATATTAACACACTAAGGGGAAAGAAACATAATTATGTCAAAATATGCTAGAAAGCACTAGACTCAGCAAACTAGTAATGGAAAGAAACTTCATTAATGCAATAAGGGTATCTACAGAAAAGCCTACAAATATTTGGTATTGTAAAAGACTGAATGCTTTCCCCTGAAAATCAGAAACAAAGAAGGTGTCCTCTCATCTTCTCATAATTGACATTGGACTGAAAAACGTAGCCAGTGCTTCAAAGCAAGTAACAAAAATAAAAAATTGTGTGCAGATGGCATAATTGTCTTTGTATAAAATCTAAAACTAACTACAAAATATCTCCTGTGATAAATGCATTTAGTAAGGTCATAAGATAATAAGCTGAATATGCAAAAAAATTATATCAGTGTGTACTAGCAATGGACAATTGAAAATGAAAATTTCAAAGCGTAGTCTCACATTATTTACATAGACAAAATATGAAAGCAACCAAAATGTTCATTGGCCAACAACTGGATAAAAAAGATGTGGTATATACTCACACTGGAATATTACTTGGCCATAAAAAATGAGTTCTAGCTGGTATGGCTCAGTGGATTGAGTGCTGGTCTGCAAACCAAAGTGTTGCTGGTTTGATTCCCAGTCAGGGCACATGCCTGGGCTAACGGCCAGGTCTTCAGTTGGAGGCATGCGAGAGGCAACCACACACTAATGTTTCTTTCCCTCTCTTTGTGTCTCCCTTCCTTTCTCTCTAAAAATAAATAAATAAAATCTTTAAAAAATGAAATCTTACCATTTGTGACAATATGAATGGACCTAGAAGGTATTATGCTAAGGTAAATAAGTCAGAGTAGATAAATACCATAGTATTTCATTTACATGTGGAATCTAAAAAACAAGATAAATGAACAAGCAAGACAGAAACAAATTCATAGATGCGAAGAAGAAACTAATGGTTGCCAGATAGGAGTATTGTGGAGATCGCTGGAAAAGGTGAAAGGATTAAAAAATACAAATGGCAGTTACAAAATGGTTATAGGGATGTAATGTACAGCACAGGGACAGTCAATAATGCTGCAATAACTAGGTATGGGGCCAGGTGGGCACTACAATTACTGGGGGATCACATCGTAAGTTATAGAAACATCTGACCACTAAGTTGTGTACCTAAAACTGACATAATATTGAATGTCAATTGTAATTGGAAAACTTTCACAAAATTTTGAACAATAGGACTTCCGCCAAGATGGAAGCATAGGTGGAGACGCCGTGCTTTCTCACACAACCAAGTTTAGAGACAACAAAATATTAGCAACAGAAAACACAGCCAGAACATAGAAAATTGAACTTTTCGGAAGTCTGATAACAACGAATTCTTCAGCCTGACCGATAAGAGGGGTGAAGCCAGCAGCTGGTGAAGCGGGGTTGCACAGGAAAACTCAGTCAGACGGACTCAGGCGCTCAGATCCCAGGCGTGGTGTTGCAAAGGGTGGACCCAGTGAGCGACCCAGTGAGCGACCCAGTGAGAGACCGGTGGACCCAGCGAGGGCGCAGGGCAGTGGGTTGACTGTGGTGGCACATTCCTACGCAGATAGACCGGTGGGGGAGTGGGTGGTGAGACCGACTGAGCAGGCCCCAGCAGTGGAGGACACAGAGGGGGC